GGCGGTGGCGCCCGGGCATCCACTCGCGAAAGGATACCTCCCGGTCCCGAGGGGCGCTCTTGTCTGCAAGGAGGGCGTGGAGCCGCAGAACGGGCCCAAAGCGGGCGGCCTGCCCTTGAACGGGGTCCCCCGGGACAGCCCCGCCGCCGCCTCGGGAGCCCTGGGCGGACCGCAGACTCCGCCGGCCCCGGAAGAGGAGACCCAGGCCCGGCTGCTGCCTGCGGGCGCCGGAGAGGAGACCCCGGGAGCCGAGGGCACCCCGCTGCCCCGGACGGCACTCTCCCCGCGGCGCTTCGTGGTGCTCCTGATCTTCAGCCTGTACTCGCTGGTGAACGCCTTCCAGTGGATCCAGTACAGCATCATCAGCAACGTGTTCGAGGGCTTCTACGGCGTCTCGTTGCTGCACATCGACTGGCTGTCCATGGTGTACATGCTGGCCTACGTGCCCCTCATCTTCCCGGCCACCTGGCTGCTGGACACCAGAGGCCTGCGGCTCACCGCGCTCCTGGGCTCCGGCCTCAACGCCCTGGGCGCCTGGGTCAAGTGCGGCAGTGTGCAGCAGCACCTCTTCTGGGTCACCATGCTGGGCCAGTGCCTGTGCTCCGTGGCCCAGGTGTTCATTCTGGGCTTGCCCTCTCACATCGCCTCAGTGTGGTTTGGGCCCAAAGAGGTGTCCACCGCTTGTGCCACTGCCGTGCTGGGCAATCAGGTAAGCGATGGGTGAGAGTCGGAACCTTAAAGGACCAGAAAAGTCATAGACCCTGAGAGCTGTGGCCTGTATAGGTGAACCGTGTGGATGAACCCTCAGGAGACATTTGTCTATAAATGGAGGAGAGGAGATGAGTAGTCATGAGATAGGAAGACGTCTTGGATTGAAACGAGTTGTTAATTTCTTGAAAGGACAGGACTTCAGAAATCAAAGTGACCACTTTGTCATTTTGCTTGAAAATTACCTATAAAATAATTAACTGTATTGGCCTGTATATGCCTATCATCTTAGAAAACGTGCCAGTGCAATAATGAACAAGACTTGGGTAGGTTTTATTTTTGCCATTCTTTGTGTATTCTTTGTGAAAGGAAGGTGTTGGATTCTGGAAAAATTGTTTCCATTTTGAGACGTCATTGTGGGCAGGTCTTTGTTATTTTATATATTAGCAGTCAGCGAGCAGCTCCTTTGTTATTTTATTTATTAGCAGTCAGCACAATGCCTAGTACTTGAGGGTTACTTTAAAATGACGGCTAAGTAAATGTGGTGATTAGACTTACTGAGGCCAATTACCAATTTTTAACTATAAGGCAATACAAAACAAATCGCAGATCATGGAATCCTTTGTAACAGGGTAGCTTAATTTGCCAAGTATCCATTAAGAAATCCCCTAGTCTTCCCTAACACCATAGGTTCAAATTCCATTAGCATTCAAGTAGTGTTTCTAGGTAGAATATTTTGTGTGCATGTGTTTTTTAAATTGCAGCCTGAATCTTTTATTGTAATTTAAATTCTGCATATGGGATTCTAAAACACTTTATGTAAATTATATATAAGTTCATTCAGCTTGAGGGGAATCAGGTTAAAAATCTGTACACCAAAAACTTCATATCTCTCTCTCTCTCTCTCTCTCTCTCTCTCTCTCTCTCTCTGTGTGTGTGTATGTTGCTACATGTAGCTATGTAACAAAAGAATGTTACTTTTTTACTTTGTCTAACACTCAAGATTGCAGTAAGATTTAATTTATTTATTCTTTAAAATTTTTTTAAACAGAGATTTGGTCTCGCTGTGTTGCCCAGCTGGTCTTGAACTCCTGGGCTCAAGCGATCCTCCTGCCTCAGCCTCCCAAAGTGCTGGGATTACAGGGGTAAGCCACCATACCCAGCCTCTCAAGATTTATTTAAAATACATAAAAAGACTAACTCTATATGCTTACTGCTCTATATTAATTTCCTTTATCTAAAAACATGGAAGATTGGGTAGTCAGAACTATAGTTGTTGTGTATCCAAAATAATTTATGACTGATACTTTAGATGGTGGCATCTGCATTTTTTGGATAGAAGCTACTTTCTTAAAGCATTTCACATTTGCAAAACTATATTCAAAATTATATTGAGCATGACAAAAATATTAATCAACTCCATTTCTGTGCATTAGCTATTTTATCAGTAATACATGGAAACATTTACTCATACAGCATACCTCTGGGCCTTCATCCCACATTCTCCTTAGGTGTTATCCCTTTCTTGGCTCCAGTAGCTGTACAGTTGCTCATGACTCCTAATTATACATTTTCAGCCTAAGTTATGAAGTGACCATTCATTATAATATTCAACATTACTGAGCACTCACTAAGAGACTGGCAACATGCTAAGTGCTTTACATGAATTGTGTCATTCAATTTAATATTATATAGCAACTATTAGCCTTCCCATTTTATATATAAAGAAATAGACTTGAAGGGATGAAGTTATTTTCCAAAGGTCACACAGCTATTTGGGGGTGACATTCATACTTAAGTTTGTTTGGTTCCTGAATCCTAGCTTTTAGCTACCAATCTGTGCTACAGGTCTTTTTTTTTTTTTGAGTTGGAGTCTCACTCCACCGATCAGGCTGCAGTGCAGTGAACACTCACGGCCAACCCAGCATCAACCTGCTGGGCTCCGGCAATCCTTCCACCTCAGTTAGCTTTCCAAGTAGCTGGAACTACGGGTGCGTGCTACCATGCCCGGCTAATTTTTTAAAAATTTTATTGTAGAAACGAGATCTCGCCAAGTTGCCCAGGCTGGTCTCAAACCCACAGGCTCATGCTAATCCACTCTCCTTGGCCTCCCAAAGTACTGGGATAACAGGCTAAGCTACCAAGCCCGGCCACTGCCAGGTCTTTAACTGAAGAGAATCATAAGCTAGGAAGCAAGCCGGGCTGGGTGGCTCAGCCTGTAATCCTGCACTTTGGGAGGCTGAGGTGAGTGGGTTTCCTGAGCCCGCGGGTTCGAGACCCGCCTGGACAATTTGGCGAGACCTCATCTCTACAATAAATCAAAAAAAAAAAATTAGCCAGGCGTGGTAGCACGTGCCTGTAGTTCCAGTTACTTGAAATGCTGAGGCAAAAGATCACTGGAGCCCAGCAGGTCGAGGCTGCGGTGGCCGGGAGCAGCCACTGCACTCCAGTCTGGGCGACAGTGAGACTCCACCCCCCCCAAAAAAAGATATGAAGCAGTTTGGGATTGAAAAGAGTTTTTGATTTTTTAAAAGGACAGGACTTTAAAAACCAAAAAGAGTAACCACCTTGTCATCTTGCTTTGAAAATTACCTATAAAAAAATTAACTGTATTGGCCAGTATATGCCTAACATTATAGAAAGCTTGTCATTGCCCTGCTTTGAACTTGACCAGTGATTTCCCATAATACTTAAAGTAAAATGTAAATTCGTGACTCTGAGTTACAAAGCTTTACTAATATGCTGTCTTTGGTTCCTTAAACAACATTAAGTTTTACTTGCTAAGGACATTTGCAGAAGCATTCTTTCTGCCTGGAATGTTCTTCCTCCTAGGATAACTTGATTATATTTTTATTGTCACATCTCTCAATTTAAAATCATTAAAAATATTCAGTATTATTTCTTGATCCCATTTAGAGTCACTCTCATTGCATTTTTATGCTTTAATTCTTATAGCACTTATCACTCTGGTATTTATTATTTACATATTTATATGTTTTTATGTTGTTATCTATTTTTATCTCTCATCCCTCCATTAGAATGTAAGTTTCATGAAAATAGGCATATGGTCTGAATGTACACAATTGAATCACCAGCATTCATTTCAGTACCTGGCACATTGTAGGCACTCCATAAAAATATGATACTGGCTAGCTGAACATTTCTCTTTTAGTATCTCTTAGGGACACATCACTCAAAATTTGCTTTCTCCTATCTCCCCTTTACCTCTACTGCCACTATCTTAGCTTGGGCCACCCACAGCTCTCATCTAGAATTGATAACTATCTCCCCATCTGCAGCCCTTGCTCTCTTCCCTCTGTTTTCCACATTCATCCTGTATGGTCTTTACAGGATGTGCGCACCTGTTCTGGGCACTTCCTTACCCCCTGCAGTGGCTTCCTGTTTTCCTTAAGATAAAATTCAAACACTCTAATGTAATAGACGAGACTCTTCAGATCTGCCTCCTGCCAATCCTTCCACTTCATCTCTCTCCACAACCTGCATTCCCACACATATTCTTTCTCTGCCCTGTGTCAAACTGCATGCTTACAGTTCCTCACAAGGTCACGGTGTCTGCCTCCTGGCTTTGTATATAATGTCCTCTGACTTGGAACACTTTCCCTTCACTTGGGTAACTCCAATTTGTTATTCAGATCTTTGCTCCTCCAGGAACTTTTCCTGAACCCCGTCTATACTTGGTACTCCTCTAAAGTACTCTCTTAGTTGACGTGATCATATGTCCCAGTTTGCTTGGGATAGTCCAGGTGTCCACCTGTTGTCTGGCATAATTGCTAATGGAGTCCCTTTCACTCTGAACAGTGTTCTGTTATGGATGATAAATTACATGATCTCCCCAGTCTTGGCACCCTCTGCATCTCTATCACAGTTCTAAATTACCACACTCTCTTGTAAATTACTTGTTTAATTCTCTTCATCCAGCTATTTTGTAAGGGATCAAATGAAATATTTGATAAATATTATTCTCTTTGCCTCAGTCTCCTTAAAACCTTTCTTGGGCCCTTCCTCCTTACCCCATCCCTCCAAAAATCATATCTTTCTCCATGGAACCTCCTAATATTTTTTATTTTATTTCTCTTGTTGTGATTATCATATTCAACCATATTTTTCTTAAGTGAAATTCACATAAAATAACCATTTTAATGTGTACAATTCAGTGGCATTTAGTACATTTTAACAATGTTGTGTAATCATCACCTCTTTCTAGCTCCAAAACATTTTCATCCACTCCCAAAGAACACCCCATATCCACTTAATAGTCATGTCACTCCTCGTTCCCCCCTCCTCTAGCCCATGGCAATTACTATCTGCCTTCTCTTACTATGGATTTACAAACTAGGAATTTCATATAAATGGAATCATACAATATGTGACCTTTTGAATCTGGCTTTTTTTCACTTAGGATGTTTTCAAACATCGTCCAAGTTGTAGCACTATATTAGTACTTAATTTCTTTTCATAGCTGAATAAAATTTCATTGTATGAATATACCATATTTTATCTGTGTATCAGTTAGGCATTTGGGTTATTTCCACCTTTTGGATATTGTAAATAGGGCTCCTGAGAATATTCATATATAATTATTTGTTTGAATACTTGCTTTCAGTTTTTGGGATATATAACTAGGAGTGGAATTGCTAAGTCACATGTTAATTCTGTGTTGAAATTTTTAAGAAACTGCTAAACTGTTGTGCACAGTGGCTGCATAATGGCTTGTATAATCCCACCAGCAGTGTACAAGATTCTGATTTCTCTACATCCTTGCCAACACTTGTTATTTTCCACTGCTTTTTAAATTATTATTACTACCATCCTACTAGATGTGAAGTGACATCTCATTATAATTTTAATTTGCATTTCCTAATGACTAAAGATATTGAGCATTTTTTATATGCTTGTTGGACATTTGTATATCTTTGGGAAATGTCTATTCAAGTCCTTTGCCCGTTTTTTAATTGAGATGTTTATCTTTTTGTTGTCTAGTTTTAAGAGTTCTATATATATTGTGAATACTACACCCTTATCAAATAATATGATTTACATGTTTTTTGCTTTATAGCAAAATGATGCTTTATAGCAGCATCATTCAGATAGTAAGAACTCAGTAAATGTTTTTTGAATAGGAAAGGTATTGGTCAGCAATTTCTCTTTAACAGTGCAATAGTAACAAAAATATTAGAACATAGTATTTTAGTTTACAAAGCACCTTTAAAAAAACTAGCCATCCTCTTTATGTTCTATTAATTGCCAATGTTTTTTTTCTAATAAGAATAGTCGTTAACAGAACTGCTTATTTTACAGCTTGGAACTGCAGTTGGCTTTTTGCTACCACCAGTTTTAGTGCCCAACACTCAGAATGACACAAATCTCCTGGCTTGTAATATAAGTACCATGTTTTATGGAACATCAGCTATTGCTACACTTTTATTTATCTTAACAGCAATTGGTAAGTGAATTATTTCCCCTTAAGCTTAAATAGATGCATGACAGAAATTGTAAAATAACTGTCCCTGAAGAATGTTATTGGTAATATCTCAAATGCTATTTGCTTGTTTCATTCTCGTCATGCACTATATTGCTCAGGTAATGATTGCTGCAACTTTAGGGATATGTTGTGGTCCACTACATCTATTTGAATATTATAAAGGGTTTGAAGACTAATTCATTTCATTTATCTTTCTATTAACTTTTCTTCTTGATAACTGCTGGTTTCAAACATATTACCTGCTTTCCCATATTCGTCTACATGGTCTGCATCTTAATGCCTACTTGATCAGGAATGAGTTCTTGTTATGCTTTGAAATGGCACAGATAGGCTATGGCCTTCCTTATAATGATAAATTTTCCCAAGGATTGCCAATCTAGCAATTATTGGATCTTAAAGTGTTGACCAGTGAATGGACCTGGGCAGCAGCAAGCTGTTCAGCAGAATTCCAAACTGTGGCAACTATCTGCTTGTTAGGCCAACTCCAGCAGAGCACGGCTGCTACCATTCATCACTGAGTCCTCTCGTCGGGGTCTGTCTCTTGAAGCAGTCAGTCAAAATCAGCTGCAAGCAGCCATCATCAGTTTGGAAGAAGCTTTGGGAAGGTCTGCCTTTCAAAGTTTATTTTTAATGGGAAACAGTTTTGACTTCAGGGAAAAGGATAGGCAAAGTTTATTTAAGTAATACAGTTGCTAACATAACTATAATATTGCCCGTTAGGCACTCAATAGAGCTTAAATTGATTAGAAGAGGAAAGGCACTATAAAGTTGAAAGAACTTTTTGAAAATCACTGAAATGTATGAACTGCATTATAGTTGGGGTGTTTTAAATTTATATATTAGTTTTTACCATGGCTATAATAGTAATGAAAAATTCACATTTTATGATCTCCAGATATGAAATCTTCAGTTTTCAAAGGAATTTATGCTGAAGACTCTAGAATGTTTCATTAGAGACTGCCTTGGTAGATGAACTGCAGGATCCAGGTATAGGAAGCTCAGCCCACATACTTAATTTCCCTTAATAATGATGAACAAAATGTTCTCTTGGTAGTGTATGAAGTATTCAGACATGTCTCATCTACTTATGGTTGGTTTTTGTTTTAGTTAGTCACAGAGTGGCATTTTTGTGATGTTCAGACTACTAAAAAAGGACAAATCATACCTGTAGTGTTTTAGCAGTTTAATAAAGTTTTAAAATCATTTTATATTGTTTAAAAAAACACACCTAAACTCTCAAATCTGCCTTTCTGGTATCATTTGATTTGATAAATGAAATGGGAAATGCAGTTTATATATATTTTGTATGAGTGGATCTTCCATTAGCAGTAGGAATTTTTAAAGTTTAAAATTCTCTTTCTAAACTTTATGTTTCTTTACATAAATTCTGGTTTTCCTTTTTTAAAAGTTATCTTCAAGTGCTTGTCTCTTTGGAAGAAGTGAGAAAGTATTAAATTACATATATGTATAGATATGAAATTACACATACAATGTATATACATTTAAATGGCTATAAATATAAGATTTTTATTTGTTGAAGGAGGGGACAAAGAATGATAATAGTAAGTGTGACCACTGACATATCAAGCACTTTTTGTTTGAAAAATTAAGAGAGCTACTTATATATACTTAATTGTATACTCATGGCTTAGGGAGTAGAGAGTGGAAGTAGAAATGGGGGAAAATAAGGGGAAAAGTAGAATAGGACAAAAGAGCTCTTTGTCAAGTTTGCCTGGTGGCCTATAATTTTAAAACAAGCACAGTACAAAAAAAGACAATAATATTCAGTTGTGATATATAAGTCTTAAGTTGAAAATTATGACATTTAAATGGAAAATATACTTGTTTTCCACATACCTAAAATGTTTGCTATTAAGGAAAATTTTGGTTATTTAAAAAATCTTTCCTTACCTAAAGTTGCTTAATTACTAAGAGATGAACCCTTCTTCCCTCTAAATTCTACCCATAATTACTTTGAAAGTCCAGTCAAATGCTTATAAAAATAATTCAGTTTTGCTGATGCTTTTCAGCAATGTGTGCTGAACTGATACTCAGCTATCTTCCTAAAATACTGTCTTGAAGATTAATACAATGTAACCCTGTTCATCTCCCTCATGGAACTTATATGAGGGTAATCCATCTTGTGTTCCCAGGAATTAACCCAAACCTTCCACTGAATTTCACACTAATACCCCGTACCTATTGAGAGAACTCAGTTATAGCTTCTAACACTTGATTGGCTGATATGTGAACATGTTTTAAGGCATACTACATGCTATGTCTCATTAAGTCCTCACAACCCTGAGAGGAAGGTACCATGATTATTCCTATCTTATAGATGAAAAAAACGGGCACAGAATTTAAATAAATCTAACTTGCCCAAGGTCACAGTAGACACTGAAGGTCAGATGTAAGCCTAGATGATCTCTCTATATAAAATGCTATATATAAAAATATTTTATTTAAGCCGGGCTCTGTGGCTCAGCCTGTAATCCCGTGCCTTGGGAGGCTGAGGTGAGTGGATTGCCTGAGCCTGCGGGTTTGAGAACTACCTGGACAACTTTGGCGAGACCTCATCTCTACAATAAATCAAAAATTAGCCGGGTGTGGTAGCGCACGCCTATAGTTCCAGCTACTTGGAAGGCTGAGGTGGAAGGATCGCTGGAGCCCAGCAGGTTGAGGCTGCAGTGGCTGGGAGCGGCCATTGCACTCCAGTCTGGGTGACAGAGTGACTCCGACTCAAAAAAAAAAAAAAAAAATTTAAGTTTTCACTAAACCTTATTTTTTGTTCCATTTCAAATTGTTACATAAGTGGTAATGCTGTTGTATTTAAAAGCTGTTCTTGTGCAGCAGAGCAGTAAATTATATCATTTACAATCCTTTCATGATTCACTAAAATGAGGGATGGTAGAAATCAAAAGTAATCACAATAAAAATATGAAATATTAATGTACTTAAACACATGAGTATATAATTTGTATGCATAATTTTACTTTTGATTCTTATATTCAAGATATACAATATATGTGTAGGTTATAAACTTTTAACAGAAATACGATTTACTTAGTTGATAAAAATTTCATGTTCCTGAGGCAAAGTCTCTGATTTTTTGATATAAATGTTTCTCAAAAAAGATATCGTTTGTGTACTACTCTATAATCACAACATTTCCTTACATACATTATATCATGCAATCCTCATAACACCTTGTTGTTGTTATATCCATTATATGGATGAGAAAGCTAAAGTTTTTTTTCTTGTTTTTGTTCTTTTGAGTCAGAGTCTCACTCTGTTGCCCAGGCTGGAATGCAGTGGCATGCTCACAACCACTGCAGCCTTGACTTGCTGGTTCAGGTGATCCTTTTGCTTCAGCCTTCCAAGAAGCTGGAACTATAGGCATGTGCTACCACACCTAGCTAATTTTTTAAAATGTGTTGTAGAGATGCGGTCTCACCATGTTGCCCAGGCTGGTCTCGAACCCCTGGGCTCAGGCAATCCTCTTGCCTCCATCTCCCAAAGTGCTAGGATTGCAGGCATGAACCACCATGCCCAGCTAGAGAAAGCTAAAGTTGAGATATAGGAGTTGACTTTCTCAAAGTCATACAGTGAGCCAGGAGGCAGACATTTGTCATATAAAGTGATAGGTGTAATATATGCTTGAGTCACACAGGGACAAGTAATAAAATTTTAAAAATAATGTTATAATTAGATTTTTAAAAGTATTAAGTGGTTCTAAACAGCAATAGACTTGCTTCTTTTTTTATCGCAGGAGGAAAAATTTGAATGCGGTATTCAAGAATACTTTGGCTACTTTATATGCCTAATGCCAGGGATGGAGAATAACTGCTTCAGTAGTCAGTTATTTTATTGGCACAAGTTGTTGGTGAGGAGAAGATAGAAGGCTATTATTTTTCAATTTCAAAGAAGAAAAGACCATATTTTATCCTTTGAAAGTAGCAGTTCATTGTAAACAAGAGCATAAACCAATAGTTTTTTGTTCCTCTTTTTCTTCAGTAGACTTAAGTCTTTACTACAGCATATAGCTGGTAGATACAAGCTTGGTTTTTGCCAAAAGAAAGCTTGATTGCTAAAAGGTAACACTTGTATTCAGAAAATAAATCTAATGGAGTTAAAGTTGGGTAAGAATTATTTTCATTTTTGCATTTGAGTTCAGATTTGGGCCATTTAGACTTATTTTACCATAATAGGTAAAAGCCTAAGTAAGAGACTTAAGACTCATTAAATACCCATGACTACTTTGTAAGCATAGTTTTTACATTCTGAAACTTTGTTTTATAACTGTGTAAGTTCTACATTACCAATGTTAATAAAAAGAGATATCTCTTATCTAACTAGGATACAAAGAGACTTTCAGGAAAGGACAACAGACATCCTCACAGTGCAAGGGTGAAAGGGAGAGGAGGAATTACAGCATCTTAAACGTTTTGTGTCTACCAGTCTTCAATGTAAGGATATTAGAAAGCAAATATTTGTGAGTTAAGGCTCCTCTGAATTAGTTGTGAGATCTGTAAAAATAGAAGTATGTTTTAGTTTGATAAATTTTATTTAATATCACAATGAACATTTTGGTTAGCAATGAACTTTAATTTTTCAAAAATTTTAGCAGCAAACAGTAAAATTAGAAAATTACAGTCTTTCATGGACATTTTAAGAATTATTTCTTTCCCACTGATTCTTAAACCCGGCTGGCTTGGAGTGAGTTTTGCTTTTGGGGAGTTTTGTGTTTAAAAGGATCTCACGGTCCATCTAGGAAATTCTCACCCATTGAGCCTTGGGTGGAATCTCAAAATCTGTATTATTTTTAAATTTTTAAATGATTCCAGTTGATAGGTTCATCAGATCTAGCCCACTCACAAACTACAAAGTAGGACTTTCTTGTTGGAAGAAGGAAATTACCACCATAAAAAAGAAAGAGAGAAAGAAAAATAAGAAATCATAATTGTCCAAAAAATACCACTTTTATCATAATCCAGTTACCTTTTTTCTCTTTGAATTTATCCTATTTCATTAATATGAAGGTGTGCTTTTTTTTTCATGAAAACTCTGAAATCAAGATGCCCTTCATAATCTTCATAATCAATGGCATCTAATACTTGTGGTCACCTCTACATGGTCATATGAAAACCTTCTGTTGATACTGGCAAAATCACTGAGTGCAAGCATCAGAGTATCCTGGATTCAATGAAATACAGTATTTTCCTTCTGTTGTAGTTTTAAAAAAATGGCCAGGTGCGATGGCACACACCTGTAGTCCCAACACTTTGGGAGGCTGAAATGGGAAGGATCATTTGAGGCCAATAGTTCAAGACCAGCCTAGGCAACACAGTGAGACTCTATCTCTATTTCAAAAAGAAAGAAAGAAAAAAAGTTTGAGCCAGTAGTTTACAGTTTTGAGTCAATTCAAAGACTAGATTTTAATTTCGTGGTCACAAATTTTGGCAGTTTAGCTCTTCTATCAGTTAGTCTTGACTTTGGGTTAGCCTAATCCTACAGAAATTTCACTAGTCAATTATTGTGGGAAGTTATAGATCCTTTCCTGCCCAGCAAAAGGGTGATCTCAAGATATCTGACTGAGAAGGCTGTGAAATCTCTAACTAGAAACGGACAGTGAGCTGGGCTCAGTGGCTCAGCCTGTAATCCCATGCCTTGGGAGGCTGAGGTGAGTGGATTGCCTGAGCCTGTGGGTTCAAGACCCACCTGGGCAACTTAGTGAGACCTCATCTCTACAATAAATAAATAAATAAAAAAAAGAAAGAAACGGACAGTGCTAAAACTTACTGCATCACATACCATATACCACACTTTAATGTCTTTTAACTCTATCCCTATACTTTCCATATGCAGCTCGAGTGAGTCAGCACAAAAGACCTAGCTCTGCTTTCATGAATCCACCTGGACTTTTTCAGTTTCAGAGGTGTAATCAAATCACATGATAAACTATATCAAATTTTAGAGGATAATAGTTACTAACTCAAGACAGTCCTCTGAAAGTTCAGTAGTATACTGGCTTGCTTATGTCTGATATTTACCTCTAAGTACAAATTGAACTGAATTGAAAAATAGGATTATTCTGGGGTAGGGGCGTTGGGGAGACACAGCATCAATAAGGGTACCTGATCTCAAGCCAGGTAAAGTGAGAACCAAAGGGAGGCCCAAACTTTACCTGTATGATGACCACTTGTATACCTAATCCTGAATTATACCCCATATCTTTAAAATTAAGGGAAAAAAAAGAATGGAATATTATGCAGCCATAAAGAAGGACAAAATTATGAACTTTGCAGCAACTTGGATGGACTTAGAGTCTATAATACTCAGTGATCTATCACAGAAACAAAGAACTGAGTACCACATGTTCTCACTCATAAGCGGACCTTGAACAATTATCATAATACTATAAGAAAGGAATTGGCAGTAGTGGAAAACCGCCAGCAGAGTTGGGGGGGTCAGGATTGGCAATAGTGGGAAACTGCCAGCGGGGGGCGGGGAACACCCTCATCAACAAGGGTGATGAACATTTGTATACCTAACCCTGAATTGTACCCCACATCTTTAAATAAAAAAATTTATTTTAAATCTGGAAAAAATAAGGATTGTTGAGTATTTGATGTAGTAAAAAGTAATCTTGCTTAAGTAGAAATGGAATCACCAGTGGGTAAGGTCATGGCATATTATTGATGATTTTGCAGTTAAGTTATGTGACTTCGTCAGATCTCTGAGTTTTAGTCAGTTTCAGGGGACTGAGATGATAATGCCAAACTATCTTTCACTTAGACATCAATGAAAATGAAAAACCTCACTGTGAAAGACTTTCAAAATTAAGCTAAATCTGGTCTGTTCACTATGAAAGATATATGCAATTAATTATATCTCATAATATATAACACGATGCATTATATATATTATATATATATATATATATATATATATATATATATTCCTTTTCATGTATATTTCCAGCATTCAAAGAGAAACCTCAGTATCCACCAAGTCAGGCTCAAGCAGCTCTTCAAGACAGTCCCCCTGAAGAGTACTCCTATAAGAAATCAATAAGGAACCTGTTTAGAAACATTCCTTTTGTCCTTTTGTTGATCACCTATGGTAAGTGGTTTTCTTATATTTTGTTTGATGTCTGTATAAACCTTTGCTCATTGTGGATTCTTCTAATTTAACCAAGTTGGTTGAACTTTAAGTAATGAGATTGATTTGTTGACTGTAAAAATAATTATAGCATAATCATGAAATTTTATTTTGAACTAAGTACAAAAAAATCCAGGGTGGATTTTCTTACATAGTTTTAAAATAAATAGTAGTTCTCAGAGAGATGCTGTCTTCTTTTGTGAGTTCTCATAGACTATTTCAGGCCATTTATGAACTATAGTTATGACTGGTATAAGCATATGGAAAATGCTATCAACAGTTTCTTTCTTTGACCCTGTACAAACTATTCAATCAAAACTAGACATTAAGGAGGTCACCTTAACCAGTTCTAATTCTTGTTTTGTTTTTGAGTGAGGATCTCACTGTGTTGCCTAGACTGAAGTGTAGGGGCCCGATCATGGCTCACCGCAGCTTCTAACTCCTGGATTCAAGCAATCCTCCTGCCTCAGCCTTCCAAGTAGAGATAAGGTTTCATTGCCCAGGCTGGTCTTGAACTCTTGTACTCAAATAATCATCCTACCTCAGCCTCCCAAAGCATTGGAATTATAGGTGTGAGCCACCATGCCCGGCTACCAGTTCTAATTTTTAAAAAAAAATTTTTTTCCAGATCTTTTAGGATAGCTGATATATTCATCCTAAATTGGTAGCTTTCACTGCAGATCAACACACTTGGTTCTTTTCATGGTTTTCTGACAGTGTGTTCTTTGTTTTGTATAATAACACCATGTACATCAACCAGCACTCCCTATTTCTGTCATACTTGCCTCCAGAAGTCACTAACTGTTGTTCTCTTTTTCATATCATGTGGGGGTACACACCCTAGTACATGCATGTGTTACAAGTTGCAAAAGGTTAAGTCCTGAACTCTTACCTTTTTGCCAATATTAGTTCCTCCTTATTTTAGTGGAAATTGTTAATCACAAAAGAATAGAATATTTAATCTAATAAACTTCTATGGACCTATCACCTGTCTATGCCATCACCAGCTTTAGCAATTATCAACATTTTACCATTCTTGCTTTTTCTATTTCCCCCACATTTTTCCTGGAATATGTAAAAACAAACAAAAAACCCTTCAAAATACCTAGGTATTATATCATGTCATCCTTAAATACTTCAAAATGCCATAGTTCTTTTTCTTCATTTTGCTGATTGCACCCCCTTTCTAGGTTAAACCTAAAATTCCTAACTAGGATGTAGAAAAAATATAGTGGCTCACTGTTATATATTAGAACAAAATATTATTGTTATTTTTTAGTTGGAGTCTCACTCTGTCACCCAGGCTGGAGTGAAGTGGCACCATCATAGCTCACCACAGCTTTAAGTTCCTGGGCTCAGACAATCCTTCCGCCTCAGGCTCCTGAGTCCCTGAGACTACATGTGCATGCTGCCATGTCCATCTAATTTTTTTTATTTTTTGTAGAAATGACATCTTTTGCCTAGGCTGGTCTTGAACTCCTGGGCTCAAGCAATTCTCCCACCTCAGCCTCTCGAAGTACTGGGTTTATAGGCATGAGCTACCATGCCTGGCCTATTGTGGTTTTTTTCTTACCATTCTTTTATCTCTCATTGCTTTCCAATACAAAATTCTCTTTCAGCCAAACTTATAATCAACCCCGTGTCATAGATATACTCTAGACACACAGACATAACTTTACATGCATATACACTATTAATTCTAGTCTCTGTAATTTTGTGCCAATTTTTTTTAACCTGAAATGTGTTCCTTTTTTTCCTTAAGCAATCCTATAAGAGACATCTTAATGTTTACCTTACTTATTGTTCATTTTGCTATTTATTCTTGTATTCAATTACTCCATTAATTGCTATCACGTACCCAAGTAAGTGTACAATAGTGCTCTAGATGCTGTGTGGGCTAGAAAAAGGCATGTATATAATTTCTGCCCATAAGTAATTTATCATCCAATTGCGTAGATAAGATGAACATTTAAAAGTAAGCAACAATGTGGGAAATATGTATCAAAAAGATAGCACAAGAGAAGTTGTATGCCATGCTAAAGGCCTTCAAGACACGTCATTGGGAAAGGATGAATGGAGGGAAGAGCTGGGACTGGCAGACAGCTTCACAGAAGGCGATGGTTAAGCTGGGACTTGAAGAATGGATTGAAACTGGATAGACAAAGGGAAAGAGGGAAACAGCACAAGCAAAGGTCTTAGATGGTGACTTCTCTGAACATTTCTGCACATTCAGATATCTATGGAGTTTTTATGTCATTGCTGTCACATCACTTACTATTTACTTGATTATACACACATGATGAGGTTAAAATTTGTTTAGTTGTTTGGGATGTATAAAGGCCTTCCATGCATATTATTTCCTTTAATTCGCCAAAAAACTTTTGAGATAGAAAGATTATTACCCCATTTTATAAATGAAGAAATGGAATTCTTTTTTTCTTAATTTTAAATTTTACTTAATTGTACAAGTAGATAATACATGCGTGTAGTATGAAAATTAAAAGTTACTATGGCTATACAATGAAGAGTTAGTCTTTCCCTCATCTCTGTTCCCAGGTTCCCCAGTTCCCCTTCCCAGAGGCAGTTACTGTTATCATCTGCAACTTATTTTTTGAGGCTAATGTAACCTTGATGATCAAAATCAGACAAGAATAATATAATGAAAAATGACAGGCTAATTTTATTTGTAAGCCTAGATGTAAAAATCCAAAATAAAATATTAGCAGACCCAGTCAAACAATTTAATAAAATAATAGGTTGGGCATGGTGGCACATGCCTGCAATCCCAGCACTTTGGGAGGCCAAGGTGGGAGGGTCACTTGAGCCCCAGAGTTTGAGACCAGCCTCGGCAACATACTGAGACCTCATCTCTATGAAAAAACAAAAATTAGCTGAGCTATAGTCCTAGCTACTCAGGAGACTAAGGTAGAAGGATCACCTAAGCCCAGGAGTTTGAGGCTGCGATGAGCTGTGATTGTGCCATTGCACTCCAGTCTGGGCGATAGTGAGATGCCCAGATTGGAGCATCTTTATTTTTTTTCAGAAAAAAATAAAGTTAAAATAAAATAAAAAATATTACATCTTGGGTCGGACTCTGTGGCTCAGCCTGTAATCCCTCCTTTGGGAGGCCAAGGCAAGTGGATTGCCTGAGCCTGCGGGTTAGAGACCAGCCGGGTGACTTGGCAAGACCTCGTCTATACAATAAATCAAAAATTAGTTGGGTGTGGTAGTGCGTGCCTGTAGTTCTGGCTACTTAGAAGGCTGAGGCAGAAGGATCACCTGAGCCCAGCGGGTTGACGCTGGGATTGCCGTGAGCGTGCTACTGCACTGCAGCTTGGGCGACCGAGTGAGACTCCAACTCAAAAAAAAAAAAAAAATTACATCCTGACCACATTTGGTTTATCTAAGAAGTGAAAAATGATTCAGTATTAGAAATTTATGAATATAATTTACCATAGTAATGGAGCAAAGAAAAAACCCAAAATAACTGAGGAAAAAGCAGTTGATAGAATTCAATAGCCATTAATTAAAGACTCTTAGCAAACTGTGAAGACAAATGAATTTTCCGAACCTGATACAATGTATCTTCAATAACTCTATAGCAAACCTTAGAACCGTCACTCGTAAAAATTAGTAAGAAGCATTCTTTAAGGTAAGGATGCCTAGTTACCACTTATGTTTAGCATCTAGAAGTTCTAACTGATTCAATAACACAAGAAAAATAAATAAATAAAAGGCATAAGAAAAAAGATTTTATTTTTAAAGATGTAGAAAACAATATGTTGTTATTCACAGATAATATGGTTATGTATATCAGAAGTCACCAAATCTGGCCATTGCCTGTTTTCATAAATAAAAGTATTATTTGGTTACATATTATTTTGAACTACAAGGGCAGAATTGAGTAGTTGTATTGATAGCATATGGCCTACAAAGCTAAAAATATTTACTGTCTGGTCCTTTACAGAGTATGTTTGCTGATCACATATCAAAATAATGCAAGAGAACATAAAGACAGCTATTAAAACTAATAAGAATAAGTTAAGCAAAATTACTAGGTATCTAGCAGTGAAAATATTAATTGCCTTCTTATACATTCCTATGAAAAGATATCTTTTATAATAGCAACTAAAACGATAAGATATCTTGGAATAAATACGACAAAAGAACTTTATAGAGAAAGTTGTAATACATTGAAAGGCTAAAAGAAGACCTAAAAATTTAAATAAAGGGATATATACCATGTTTACAGAAGGCTCAAGAGTATAATGATGCCAGTTAATCTTCAAGACTACTGTATTAACAAATGACAGTTGTAGATTTGAATTGATGAAAAAGCCAGATACAGATTCTGCTTAGGAAATCAAACATGTTTATTTGTTGAAGGGATTATAAGGAAGGAGTTGGGAAACATGAGGAGAGTTAACAGTATTCTATAGTAAAGTTGAAGAAGTTTCTCAACCTCGTGTTCTTCACCAAAGGAGCGCAGAGCTAGAGATCATAATGTTTGAGTGAAGGTCACATCACACTTGTTGGATACACACCTGCCTACCTCCATGCTTAGTGTAATATACATTAGCTTGGAGCTGTCTTGCATGGGATAGTCTGGATAAGGAATAACACTCCTAGGATAGATTTTTGGGATTATATATATAAAGTCCAAAACTCAGGAATCAAATGGTCTTAAGTTTTTGTGTTTTTTTTAAGGTCAGGTTATTTGGAAAACTATTGCTATTTGCTATCTGAAACTCAGACAAATACCTTATTCTAGGTTGAGACAACACAGTATTCTTTGCTACTCTGACTCTTCATTCAAACCCTTCCAGTCTTTATTCCAGTCTGGAATAGATTCAAAATCACCATAAGGTGCAGCGCAGTAGAGTATACTCAGGCCTGAGCATGGGCTTCATTTGTTATCCTCAACTTCCCGTGGTAACCCACCCAGGTCCAGGTGCATTCCTGAACTCAGTGGAAAGTGGGTGTTTTTGATGAGTTTTGCTTACAAGTTTTTTTAGCTTCATCCTACAATCTCCAGTTTAAACGGGGATTGTAATGGAACTAATTGTAAAATTCCTATGAGAGAAATAAAGACCAAGAACAACAAAAATAATTTTGTTGAACAAGATGAGGGACTCATTCTTGGGTGTCAAGGCTTATAAAACTATTGTAATTAAGATGGCATTAATAGCAAGGGATCAACAGTCCAATCACTGGAACACAACAGAGAGCCCAGAGACCTACCCCTGTGTTTTGCTTGGTGTAGGATAGGTTATATTACAGCAGTGAAACCCCACCAGAAAACTTTAGTGGCCCAACACATCAAAAGTTTATTTCTTGCCAATGCTACACGTCCAGTGTGAATTAGAATTACTAAGAGATCCATTCTGACATCTCTGTACACACTTCCATGATTACTAAAGCAGAAAACAGGGAATGTCACTTTTCCTTACATTTAAAGTCACATGGCCATGCCTAGAAAGGAAAAATCTAGAATATTTGCAAACAGCTCAAATAACTAGCTTGTTATACATATATGAAAACCTTATGTTTGGAAAAGGAAAAAATACTTACTAAATTGTCTGAAGATAATTGATTATCCATATGGGAAAAGTAAAGTAAAATTAGGTCTCTACATGGTACCATGAGTAAAAATGTTTTATAATGGATTAGAGACCAAAGAGTAAAAGTCAGAACTTTAAAGTTTTAGAAACACACACAGGAGACCATCTTTAGTATTGTTAAAGAATTTCTTATTGCAAAAAACATAAACCCCTCCAAAATTGATAAACATTATTACATTAAAATAATTGTCTTTTCTAAGAAGACACTATTTTAAAAAGTGTAAAGACTAAAGACAAGACCTAGACTATGAGATGTCTGCAATACATACAGTCAACAAAGGGTTAGTATCTACTATAAAAATAACTTTTTTTTTTTTTGAGTTGGAGTCTCACTCTGTTACCCAGGCTTACAAATCGAAAAGAAAAGCCCAGACCATCCAAGGAAAGCAGAAGGCATCTATATGTGTGTATTGTTCAAATATGATGTGCAAACATACTAGTGTTAAGGAAATATAAATCAAAGCTGGGGTAAGATACAATATCACACATTCAAATCGACAAAAAAATTAAAAATCTGGTGAGAACAAATTTGACAACATGTGGAACAACAGGAACTCTGCTGGTAGTATAAATGGATACAGCTACTTTGAAGAGTAAGCAGATCTACATATATATACATGTACACATATATGCATAATATATATATTTAGAGAAATGCCTATACATAAGAACAAAACATATTCATTACACTCTTGTTTTAAATAGTGAAAAACTAGAAAAAAACCTTAAGTGTCTACTGACAGTGATACGGATTTTTCAGGTCAGCCTGGGCTTCCAGAGTGTCAGCTCAGCGGGTTGGCCAGTTGAGCCCCAGAGAGGGTTGGCTTGAGGAGCTGGCAAGCCAAGCCCCAAGAGTGTTGCTGATTCGGTGGGCTGGAAAGCCTAGCCTCCAGAGTGTTGGCTCTAATGGGCTAGCAAGCCAAGCCCTGAGAGTGTTGCCAATTTGGTGAGCTGGCAAGCCTAGCAGCCCCAAGAGTGTCTCAGCTTGGGAGTCTCACCTTCCAGCAGCTCTCCTGGTCCGTCGGCTGGCTCGCCAGCCTCTGGGGTGCATGACCCTCCAGTTCCAGTGATCTTCTGCAGCTCTTAGAGGTTGAGGTTCTTGTCTTGCATCCAGGAGGAATGAGGGACATGAGCAGCCAGAAGGTGAGAAAGCAGGATTTATTGAAAGGGCAGAAAAGCTCCCACAACAAGAGGGTTGCTGATTTGGCCCTGAAACCTGGTGCTTATATAGCCCTAAGACTGAACCAATTGGCTAGCACTAGCTGTGAGCTGATTGGTTGGCACTAGCTGTTCTGATTGGTCAGTACTGAGAACCAATCGGCAGGAGATAGGGGCCTAGTGGTAAGTTGATTGGTCACTACTCGGCATGAGCGGATTGGTTGTTTTTCTGTCCCAGCAGTGAGTACTTAAGCTCTAGCTTGAGAGGCTTACAGGGAGCTTGTTACTGTGGGGCCCACCTTACCTGTCTGCCTAGCTTTTCTCTAGCTATCTCCTCTCTCAACAGAACTAGAGATAATTAAACTGAATTATAGTCACACAATGGAAAAATGGAGAAAACTACTGAACTAGAAAAAAGTATCAACATGGATAAATTTCAAAACCATTTCAATATTGAGTAAAAAGAGCAAGTTGCTAGGGATACAAATAATGTATTACTTATATTAAGTTTCAGTATATAAAGAATAATTCTGATTGCTTTTGGGTATGTATATATGATATATAAAATGATAAACACTAAGATCAAGATAGGGCTTACGTTTAAGAAAGAAGAGAGAATGGGATTGGGAAAATCTGAAAAATGAATCTGAAGCAAAGATGGCAAAATTTTAATGTTTGACAAATCTGGGTGAGGAGTAAGTATTGGTTATGTTATTCCCTATACTACTGTATATGCTTGAAACATATAATAATAAAGAGAGAGAGAAATAATAAGCTTAAGTATCAGCTAGGTTTAGTCTTACTTAAATTCATATACTACATACAAGGAGATTCCAGGGTTCAAACCTGGTCAGATGATTCCTGATAACCAGCTGCTTTTATTGTTCTCTTCTAAAGTATTAAATTACTTCTGCCTTACAAATTGCCTATTAAGTGTTTGTTACAGGGGTAAGATCTCTGAAGCAGGGGTTCTGTTCTGCTTTGAACATTCAGTGTCTATAGTGCGTCGTAGGCACTCAATAAACAATTCATTGCTTGATTGGTTGCCATGTACAGTGTTGTATGTAAGGATATGATATATGGTCAGTATATCTCAACCTAAATAATAATAATGTTAAGATGGATTCTATTACCGTGTGTATTTAGTAAATTTAGGTGTTAGAAATTGATCAGTCCACATTCTGAAAGGGAATGGCAATAGTTTTTAATTTTGTTAACTGTCTAAGAAATACATTATACTTTTACAATTGTCACATAGTATTTTACATCACTTCATGAACTGATAAATGATACACTTATAATTTTCTCTTTATTATTGTAGGTATCATGACTGGAGCATTTTATTCAGTCTCAACATTATTAAATCAAATGATATTGACATATTATGAGGTAAGCTTCTGCTTTTATTATATTGCATGCCTGGCCAATAACTTTTATTAGCAATATAAAACTTGTTTGCATAGTCAAAAGATTGTTACAATACAAGATTTACATTTGTTTTAATTGAGAATACATTTATAAAAAATAAAATTTCCACAAATTTAGTTTAAAGATCAAATTGGCTTTTATTCATGATTCATTTGTGAAGGAGCATCTTATATAAAGATTTAGAAAGGTGCTTTGATAAGCTGAATAGAGAAGGCAGATTTTATAGGCAGAAAAAGACTGAAGAAAGCAGAAACAAGAAACAAAAAGTGGTTTGGTTATAACAGAGTTACTTTCCTTATAGGATTAAAACAGGGGTAACTAGGTTGGTTCTGATTGGTTGCTATGAATTTGTTGCTACGAATCTCCTTTTTTCTGGAAAACTAGGCCATTTTAAAGTTCAGTTTGATTATACAGCACCTGGCACTGGTGACACCATTCTGGTTTGGTCTAGTCTTTGGACCTAGTGCAGAAGCTCCATACAGAACAGCCTCCCATCATTTTTATTTAACACATTTTAAATGATTTACAAGGCCAGGCGCGGTGGCTCAAGTCTGTAATCCCAGCACTTTGGGGGGCCTAGGCGATAGGATTGCCTGAGCCCAGAGGTTCGAGACCAGCCTGGACAACTTGGTGAGACCTTGACTCTACAATAAATAAATAAATAATTAACCGGGCGTGGTAGCGGGTGGCTGTATTTCCAACTACTTGGAAGGCTGAGGCAGAAGGATTGCCAGTGCCCAGCAGGTTGACGCTGGGGTGGCCGTGAGCATGCCACTGTATTCCAGCCTGGGTGACGGAGCAAGACTCTGACTCAAAAAAAAAAAAAAAAAAACTTTAAATAATATACAACATGGACAGCAGAAGTTATTATCACTGTGACAATACTTATTTATTTTTTAAAGACATAATATGATTGGTTATACAGAAAAAGAAAACATTTTACAGGAAATCAACATAAATATAAAGAAGTAAATATCAAGTTCTGACTGACCACTCTTTGCTTTTGAAAGGAGAAAGCAGACATACTATGTAAAGCTATCAGATTAACCTCTTTTTCAGACATCTGTAAATAACAGTCTTGCCTTAATGACAGGGATAAGTTCTGAAAAATTCATTAGATAATTTCATTGTTGTGTGAACATCCTAGAATATATTTACACATACTTGCATGGTATAGCCTGCTACACACCTAAGCTATATGGTTTAGCCTATTGCTCCTAGGCTACAAACCTGTATAGCATGTTACTGTACCAAATACTGTAGGCAGTTTAACATAGTGGCATTTGTGTATCTAGATATATCTAAGTATAGAAAAGGTACAATTAAAATACAGTGTTATATAATCCTAGGGGATCACCATCATATATGCAATTGGATTTTTACCTCAGTGTTATTATATAGTGATTACAGTAACAAAAATCTCTGTACTTCTAACCATAGAGGAAAATTTTCCCTTTTTAACTTCTTTCATGATTTTAGGCTTTTTTTTTCCTGGTTTTAAAATCACATCCCCTCCTCCACTCTAACACATGTACTGACTCTTCTTATTGTGTACTTAATTTTATCTAATTATTTCCATTGACTATAAAAAGGTATGGGAATATGCAGAGTCTATTTGAATTAGCAGTGTCTGATTAACTTATGCAAATTGCTTCCAGGGAGAAGAAGTGAATGCTGGAAGGATTGGGCTAACACTGGTAGTGGCTGGAATGGTAGGCTCCATTCTCTGTGGTTTATGGCTGGATTATACCAAAACATACAAGTAAGTGAAAGTAAATAAATGTGTGGTACATAACCAAAGGTATTTTGATTTTTTTTTTTTTTTTGAGTTGGGAGTCTCACTCTGCCGCCCAGGCTAGAGTGCAGTGGCATGCTCCTGGCCACCACAGCCTTCACCTGCTAGGCTCAGGCGATCCTTCCAAGCCTCAGCCTTCCAAGTAGCTGGAACTACAGGCATGTGCCACCATGCCCAGCTAATTTTTTGATTTATTGTAGAAATGAGGTCTTGCCAATTTGCCCAAGCTGATCTTGAACCTGTGGGCTCAGGCAATCCTCTCATCTTGGCCTCCCAAAGTGCTGGGATTATAGGTGTGAGCCACTGTGCCCAACCAGATATTTTGATTTTTAAGAAAACTTTGCTTCTTATTTTAATAAATTTTTAAAGGGTTATTATTACTTAAAGACTTGGATTCTAAACACTCATAGGTTTCCTTCACTTAGTCAGTGATTCAGTGTTCTTTGTATTGTATTATTTTATTGATCTTTTTTTTTTTTTTTGAGTTGGGGTCTTACTGTCACCCAGGCTGGAGTACATTGGCATAGTCATGGCTCACTGCAGCCTCAGCCTCCTGGACTCAGGTGATCCTTCCACCTCAGCCTCCCAAGTAGTTGGGACTTCAGGCACATGCCACAGTGCCCAATTAAGTTTTTAATTTTTTGTAGAGACAAGATCTTGCTATGTTGCCCAGGTTGGTCTTGAACTCCTGGGCCCAAGCAGTTCTCCCACCTCAGTCTCCCACAGTACTGTGAGCCACCATACCCAGCCTTATGGCCATATTTATTTCAGCTTTGAGAACTTGGGTAATGTGTGAACCTTCTTTTCCACTAACAATACTCATACATTCCACTTTAGAAGGAATATTTCTATTCTAAAAAGGGTGCTTTCTGAGAAGCATATAACTTTGGACAGACTTTATCTTGTTCTTTTATGTTGTGGGTTTTAAAACAAACCAAAAAAAATTGTTATTTCCTATCAAAACAATTATTGTTGAGCATTAGTCTTTATTCTGATGAAACTTTTTAGCTAAAGTGACCCCAAACCACAGCAACACTTAACTGTAATATAATGCATAATGTGAAAATGCTATGTTAATTGTGCATTTATATGAAACCAGAAAAATGCTAATACAAAAGAAAAAAGTGAGTGGTACTAACTGGGAGACCAAGAAAGGGGTTTCAGAGGCAGCATCTTTTGCTCTAGGACCTAAAAGAATAGCCACACTTTTTAACAGGTGAAAACATTCCCATCTGCTTAGGGAAATGAATTGATGATGAATGCATAAATGAGTGGATTGAGGTGAACCAAATGAATGAAATACGGCACTATGACGAATACACCTTTCAATGCCCCAGATATATTTGATACTATTATTCTAAACCTCACCAAAAGTACTGTTGAGATTGAAATTCTCCAAGATAATTCTCCCATAATTTAAGTGGTTAACCACTCACAGTGGCTTCATTATTCTGAAATGACAGCTTAGGGTGAAACCAACTTAGTTTGTAGATGAAGGGAGCATATAGAACGGATTACGTTTCTCAGCAGTCTTTTGTCCATTATATATTTAGAAAACTTGATCGGCATATAAATGTGTTGTCACCCTGGCTTTCTTCTTAGGGTAATTGCCAATCAATCATCAAACTTCTGTTGTGTGCATCCCTCTTAGATAGAAATTATGGCAAGGAATATGTGATTCCTGTTCTTAAGACACTTGTGATCTAAATGGGAAAAATAAGGCATTTACATATGAAAAGTTAAATAAAAAGATAACAAATTAAAATAGGTATCATGAGTCTGATAGATGTCAAGTGCCAATTGTGTGTGGTAAATGATAAGGGAGTTTGGAAGACAGAGAGACTCTTTAATATAAGCTGTAGTGGCTAGGAAGGGCATTAGGAAGAATTTGATCTGAATCTTGACATATGAATAGGGATCTATCCTATATGGTAGCATACAAATAATTGTATCCATATTAAGCATCCCTTCCTATGTGATATGGTGTGGGTTTGGGTTGTCTGTTGCTGTTGAATTTTAATTTTAAGTTTTAAGTCTGTGCTTTGATGGATATATTTTCCATAGAGAAGAAGGGGTGAATTTTGAAAAACAAAGAATTATTCTTTGTTTAGAGCAGTGGCTAGCCATGTGATTTTTATGTGCCCAGGAGAATCAGGCAAAATACTAACAATTTTGTTGTTTATGTTTTAGACAGACTACTCTGACAGTTTACATTTTATCTTTTATTGGAATGGTTATATTTACTTTCACACTGGACCTTGGATACATCATCATTGTATTTGTTACTGCAGGGGTGCTTGGGTAAGTAGCAGATGTGTGTAGGAGGAATGATAGCATGCTATTATAATTCTGAGTGTCATTACTCTGGTTTTTAATTTCTTAAGTTCACTCAAAGGTTCTTTAATATTTTAAACTTTAAAGAATCCATTCTGTGCATATAAATGTGTAATTCTTTTTTATTTTTTATTGTCAATGTAATTCTTAAGAGCTATAAAAAATCGTTGAAAAAAAATTTTTTTATACCACATGTAAAAAACAAATGAGTCTTACTTAACCTAAGTAACTTTATTTGTTTTTAAAGACAGTTGACTTATAAAACTGAGTTACATTTTACTCAGAAAAAATATCTAGGAATTATCTTGCTTCCCAGTTCTTGTGACCTTGGGCTGATCAGTCAATAATAATAGTTCGTTACTCTCACATAGCAACTTCAAAATATTCATTTATTTGATCATTAGAATAGGCTTGAGCAATAAAATGGTTGCATCAGTATGTGATATTGTCTTTCTGATAATTTTTTAATATATGCAATTCTGAATTTATTTTCCTAGTTTCTTCATGACTGGGTACCTCCCCTTAGGGTTTGAATTTGCTGTTGAAATCACTTACCCTGAATCTGAAGGTACTTCATCAGGTCTTCTTAATGCTGCTGCACAGGTAAACCTCTGATTTCTCTTAAACCTGAGATTATTATTTTACCAAATATTCTAATGAATAATGAGTTTACCATGGTTTTTATTTTAACAATTCCACTTTTCATTGAAAGTTTCTAGAAGCCAAATCATATGAAAAAATAAGTTAAGAAAAGTTCTAGTGAAAACTTAATGCTTGTTTTAAAGAAGAAAATTTAATAAAAATTATTTTTCTTATTTTATTTTAGATATTTGGAATTTTATTCACATTAGCTCAAGGAAAACTCACAACAGACTACAGTCCTAGGGCAGGGAACATTTTCCTTTGTGTCTGGATGTTTATAGGCATCATTTTAACAGGTAAATTGGGCATTTGACTGATGAAAGTACTGTGTTTATATTTAATTTTCATGTATATTGCTTCTCAATGACTTGGCAGAACTCATGGGGAAACATGGTATAAAAAGAGGACATTGTTTTCTTCTGAGGATATGAATCTCTTACTTCATTTTGTAGGTTTCAAATTCAATACTTACTCTTTATAGAAAACAAAACTGTTGTAACAAGAGTGGTAAAGACCCAGTTGGTCAGTCCTGGCCTCAAATCCTGATTCTGCTGCTCAGTGGCTGTGTGACTTTAGACAAGTTACTTAACCTCTCAAATCTTTCTTTCCTCATTTATATAGTAGAGCATTAAAAGCTTGCTTTATAGGGTAATGATGAGTATTAACTGAGATGGGTCATGAAAAGCTGCTAGTATAGTGTCTGGCACCCAGCATGTACCTAATACATGTTCACTATTATTATAATGTGGTGGCAGTGTTATGAAGTCAAATGGTGGTTGTGGAAGTTGTATGGTTAGCTAGTACTTACACTTGTTAGGTATAGTCTTAATAGTCATGGGCAGGAAAGAGAATGTAAAAAAACTTCCATCCATAGTTTGCCATGCATACGGTGTAACAATGGATTTGGAAGCAAGACTTATGTTCAGCGCCGTTTCTAGGCCCATGTTGGCTTCTACTATTATTTCACTTTGTGAATTTCATTCTGCATCGTTTTATCAACATGAGAGACAGAAATCATGGATATTTAAGGAGAGGTTATAGTTGACCCTCCATATCTGTGGATTTCTCATTTGTGGATTCAACCAACTGCAGATTGAAAATATTAAAACAAAAATAGAATGGTTGTGTCTGCACTGGATATATATGGACTTTTAAAATGTCATTATTCCCTAAACAATATATAGCAACTATTTATATAGCATTTGCCTTGTATTAAGTAGTAGAAGTAATCTAGCAAAGATTTAGTATACAGAAGGATGTGTGTAGGTTATGTGCAAATACTATACCATTTTATATGAGGGACTTGAGCATTCATGTATTTTGGTATCCACAGAGGGTCCTGGAACTAATCCCCCACAGATACTGAGGGAGACTATTTCTTTGATCTGATTATAACTTAATTTGAGGATAGAATCTATCAAAGATATGAATCAGTTTTTTTTATGTTTATTGAATAACCTTCAATATGAAATTTTACCAGTGATAAAATCTTACCAGTAATAAACATTTATTTTAGATATACACAAATACCTAGGGTCACTATCATTCATTCATTATGCTGAAAGTGAATATACCCTGTTTCTTCAAAGAAAAATATCCCACCATAAGAGAGATTTCCCCCTATTCTCTAGAGTTAGTAAAATAAAAAATAAAACTGAAATATGTAATACATTAACTGCTTTCACTTCTGGTCATTCATAAATAATTCCATGTCAATCCTTAATTTCTAGGCAAGTACTATATCTATCAGAGTGCTGTTGTTACACCAAAAAGGGAGCAGTTTTGTAATCCCTTTCACATTATTTTTACATGAGATTCATGAATGCTAATTTAAACAAACCAAGTCTAGAATATCAGTTAAGAAGTGAAAGAGATCTTTTATTTATTTATTTATTTAGAGACAGGATCTCGCACCCAGGCTAGCATGCAGTGGTATGATCCTGGCTCACTGCAGACTCCACCTCCTCAAGTGATCCTCTCTCCTCAGCCTCCTGAGTAGCTGGGACTAACAGGCATGTACCACCATGCCTGGCTAATTTTTGTATTTTTTTGTAAAGACGAGATCTCACTATGTTGCCCAAGCCGGTCTTAGACTCCCAGGTTCAAGTGATTCTCCCACCTTGGCCTCCCAAAGTGCTGGGATTACAGGCATGTGCCACCATGCCCAACCTAAAATTGGTTTTACATTGATGCCTTGATCATCTAAAACTGCTAATTAATTTCTCTCAAGTATTGATTATTTTAATGGAGAAAGCTTGATGAGTTTTTCTAAGATATTGGTATCAGTAATGCAGCAGAATTAAAAGGAGCAATATGAATTTCAAAGGAAACATTAGACGTCCAGTTTCTGATTCAGCATGGAAGAAATTTGAAGTTGACACTCCCTACTAACAACACATAAAAAGCTGAACAAGATGAAAAAAACCGATGAATCTTCCCAAGTCTGTAAGAGAAGTGAGGTTACAGGGTAAACCACTGCCTCCAAAATTGCAGAGACCAACAGGTGAATACAGAGGCTCATAAATTATCAGGACAGAAACCCAGGAGCTGACACCTCTTTGGGAACCACATATAAAGTTTATAGTTGGAGGCACAGGCTAACTACAAGACAGACCTAATGATAAAACACAGAACACTCCCCATCCCCTCATACCTTACTACCATATCACCAAGGGCCTATTCTTTTACTGGGCACATCATGTCTGACTATCAAGAAAAAATGACATGACATACTAAAAGGCAAAAAGCACAAGTTTGAAGAGAAAGAACAAGCATCCACACCAGACTCAGATATGACAGGAGTACTAGAATTCTCAGACTGGGAATTTAAAACAACTATAATTAATATACTAAGGGCTCTCCTGGATAAGTGGACAACACGTAAGAACAGATATACAATGAAAGCAGAGAAAGGACCAAGAAATGCTACAAACAGAAACACTGTAACAGAAATGAAGAATGCCTTTGATGGGTTCATTAGTAGACTGGAGACAGCTGAGGAAAGAATTTCAGGGCTTGAGGATCTGTCAGTAGAAGCCACCAAAACTAAAAAGCAAAGAGGAAAAAAGCCTGAAAAAAATAGAACAGATTTTCCAAGAACTGTGGCACAACTACAAAATATGTAACCAACACACAATGGGAATACCAGAAGGAGAAGAGGGAGAGACGAGAACAAAAGAGATAGTTGAAACAAAAATGACAGAATTTCCCCAAATTAATGTCAGACACCAAATAACAAATCCGGGAAACTCAGAGAACACCAAGCAGGATAAGTGCCAAAAGTCTACACCTATGTATATCATATTCAAACTGTTGAAAATCAAAAATAAACAAAAAATTCTGAAAAACCTCAGGGAGAGGAGGGGGTGGGGGAATACCTTACCTATAGAGGATCATAGGTAAGAATTATGTCTGACTTATCAGAAACCATGCAAGCAAGAAAAGAATGGATGAAATATTTAAAGTAGTGAAAGAAAAACCTCACTAACCTAGAATGTAGTGCCCTATGAAACTACCCTCCAAAGTAAAGGAGAAAAAGACTTTCTTAGACAAACAAAAAATGAGGGAATTTATTGTCAGTAGACCTGCCTTGTAAGAAATGCTAAAAGAAGTTCTTTAGAGAGAAGGAAAGTCATATAGGTCAATAACTCAGATGTATGTAAAGAAAGGAAGAGCACTGGAGAAGCAATAAATGAAAGTAAAATTTTTAAATTTACAAGGTATGAGTGGGAAGAATAGGATTATTTTGTTACTATAAGGTACCCATGCTACCTGTGAAGTGCTATAGTGTTATATTTGAAAGTGGACTTGGATTAGTTATAAATGTATATTGCAAATTCTAGGGAAACCTCTAAAAAAGGTAAAAAAAAAAATTACAACTGATATGTGATGAAAAAACTGAATCATACAAAATGCTCAGCTAAAACTACAAAAGGCAGAAAAACAAGACAAATATAGGAACAAACAAGGACAACAAATAGAAAATAGTAATTGTAGATATTAACCCAACTATATCAAAAATCACTTTAAACACCTGTGGTCTAAATGCACCAATTAAAAGAGATTATCAGAGTAGATCAAAAAAGAAGATCCAATTATATGTTGTTTACAAGAATCCCACTTTAATATAAAGACAAATAGATGAAAAGTAAATGGATTCAGGAAGCTTTCAGGACATTGATTTTTCTTTCATCTTTTATTTCTACCCTACTTTCTGATTAGAACACTTAACTACCCACAAATATATGTCTTCTTTTCTTATTTTATATACTTCTTGAGCAATCTATGGCTTTAACTACCGCTTTAACACTAGTAACTTACAAATCTTCATCCGCAGATCCTAACCTCCCTTACATTTCTGACCAGCATATCCAGTCAAATATCTATCACCTGTTTCAGGGGTGTCTTATTCTCAGCCTGTTGAGAATTGAACTTACCATGCTTTCATCATAAGCTATTTCCCTTGTATTTTCGGTTTTGATAAGTAGGGCCACCATCCATTCAATTACCCAAGTGAAAATTAACTCTTTAATCACCCAATCCCCCCTCCCTACATTTTTCATATCCTACCAAATCCCCAAATCTTACTGGTTTATTCTAAAATGTCTCTAGGCTTGGCTCGGTGGCTCAGCCTGTAATCCCAGCACTTTGGGAGGCCGAGGCAAGTGGATTGCCCGAGCTTGCAGGTTCGAGACCAGCCCGGGCAACTTGGCAAGACCTCGTCTCTACAATAAATTAAAAGGAAAAAAAAAAAGTCAGGTGTGGTAGTGCATGCCTGTAGTTCCAGCTACTCAGAAGGCTGAGGCGCAAGGATCACGGAGCCCAGCAGGTTGACACTGGGGTGGCCGTGAGCGTGCCACGGCACTCCAACCTGGGCGACAGAGTGAGACTCCAACTCGATAGATAGATAGATAGATAGATAGATAGATAGATAGATAGATAGATAGATAGATAGATAGACAGATGGATAGATAGATAGATAGATAGATAGAGTGAGACTCCAACTCAATAGATAGATAGCTAGATAGATAGACAGACAGACAGATAGATAAAAATGTCTCTGAAACCTGCCCCTGTATCACCATTCTTCGCACATTCAGACACTTACTAAATCAACAGGATTAAAACCATTTGGCTGGACTTCCTGCCTCTGGGCTTGTTGCTAATTAGTATTTTCCACATTGCTGTCAGAGTGAGTTCCCTAATATATAGGTCTGTGTCATTCCCCTACTCAAATACAATGTAAACTTCTTTACATGGTGCACACAGCAACTACCGACCTAACCTCCAATTCTGTCACCTTCCTCTTGTATTTGATGCTACAGTAATCTCAAACTTCCTTCAGTACCAAGAATAGACTATACTCTTCCTGCCACCCCCCTTCTTTGTCTCTACAGGCACACCTTGTTTCATTCTATTGCACTTTACATATATTGTAGTCTTTTTTTTCCCAAACTGAAGGTTTCTGGCACCCTACATCAAGCAAGTTCAGCAGTTTGTGCACTTTGTGTCTCCGTATCACATTTCAGTAATTCTAGCAGTTTTTTACACTTTTTAAATTTATTTTATTTATTTATTTTATTTTTTAATTTATTTTATTTTTTTGAGTTGGAGTCTCATTCTGTCACCCAGACTGGAGTGCAGTGGCATGTTCCCAGCCACTGCAGCCTTGACCTGCTGGGCTCCAGCGATCCTTCCGCCTCAACCTTCCAAGTAGCTGGAACTACAGGTGTGCGCTACCACACCCAGCTAATTTTTGATTTATTGTAGAGACGAGGTCTCACCAAGTTGCCCGGGTGGGTCTCGAGCCCGCGGGCTCAGGCAATCACTCCCCTCGGCCTCCCAAAGTGCTGGAATTACAGGCTGAGCCACCGAGCCTGGCTACACTTTTTTATTATTGTATCTGTTATGATGATCTGTGATCTTTGGTATTACTATTGTAATTGTTTTGGGGCACCATGAACTGCACCCATACAAGATGGCAGACTTAATAAATGTAGATGAAATAGCCTTTTGTTGGAAGAGGATGCCATCTAGAATTTTCATAGCTAGAGAGAAGTCAATGCCTAGTTTCAAAGCTTCAAAGGACAGTCTGGCTCTTGTTGGAGCTAATGCTGACTCTCTTGTTGGTGACTAAGTTGAAACCATTGTACCTTGACCATTCTGAAAATCCCAGAGCCCTTAAGAGTTGTGCTCGTATACTCTGCCTGTGATCTATCAGTGGAACAACAAAGACTGCATGACAGCACATCTGTTTATAGCATGGTTTACTGAATATTTTTAGCCCACTTTTGGAACCACCTACTCAGAAAAAAAGATTCCTTTCAGAAGAAGAGTGCTCACTGGCAGTGTACCTGGCCGCCCAAGAGCTCTGATGAATATGTACAAGGAAGTGAATGTTGTTTTCATTCCATTTCAACATCCCTTCTGTAGCCCATGGATCAAGTAGTAATTTTGACTTCCAAGTCTTCTTATTAAAGAAATACATTTTCAGGCCAGGCAGAGTGTGGCTTAAGCCTATAATCCCAGCACTTTGGGAGGCTGAGGTGAGAGGATTGCCTGAACCCGTGGGTTTGAGACCAACCTGGACAACATAGTTAGACCTTGTCCTTATAATAAATCAAAAAATTAACTGGGTGTGGTAGCACGCGCCTGTAGTTCCGGCTACTTGGAAGGCTGAGATGGAAGGATCGCCGGAGCCCAGCAGGTGGATGCTGGGTTGGCTGTGAGCATGCCACTGCACTCCAGCCTGGGCGACGGAGTGAGACCCCCAACTCAAAAAAATAGATAAATAAATAGATTTCCTAAAGCTACGAGCTGCCATAGATAGTGATTTCTCTCTTGGATTTGGACAAAGTAAATTGAAAACCTTCTGGAAAGGATTCACCATCTTAGATACCATGAAGAACATTCTGTATTCATGGGGAGGCCAAACTATCAATAGTAACAGGATTTTGGAAGAACTTGATTCCAACTCCCATGGATAACTTTGAGGGGTTCAAGACTTCAGTTTAGGAAGTAACTGCAGATGTAAAATAACAAGAGAACTAGAATTAGAAGTGGAGCCTGACAAAATGACTGAATTGCTGCAATCTCATAATAAGACTTGAATGGATAAGGGGTTGCTTATGAGAAAAGAAAGTGTGCAGCTGAGATGGAATCTACTCTTGTTGCAGCTGCCGTGATGTTGAAATGATAACAAAGAATTTAGAACGTGACATAAACTTAGTTGATAAGGCAGTAGGAGTATCTGAGAGGATTGACTCTAATTTTGAAAGAAGTTCAACCGTGCATCTCCATCTACTATAGGATGCAAACAGCACTGCATGCCAAAGAGAAATCGTTCATAAAATGAAGAGTCAATCGACGAGGCAAACTTCATCATTGTTTTATTGTAAGAAATTGCCACAGCCACCCCCACCTTCAGCAGTTACTGCCCTGATAAATCAGCAGCCATCTTCATCAAGGCAAGACTCTCACTGGCAAGAAGATTGCAACTTGCTGAAGCCTCAGATGATTGTTAGCATTTTTTAGCAATAAAGTATTTTTAAATTAAGGTATGCACATTTTTTGTTGTTGTTGTTGTTTTAAAGACATAATGCAGGCTGAGTGTGGTGGTTCACGCCTGTAATCCCAGCACTTTAGGAAGCTGAGGTGGGAGGAGTGCTTGGGCCCAGAAGTTCAAGACCAGCCTAGGCAATATAATGAGACCTTGTCTCTACCAAAAAAAAAAAAAAATCAAATTGACTGATGTGCACACCCCTGTAATCCCAGTTACTCAGGAGGCTGAAGTGGAAGAATCACCTGAGCCCAGGAGGCCGAGGCTGCGGTGAGCCATGATCATGCCACTGCACTCCAGCCCCAGAGCAACAGAGTGAGACCCCAACTCAAAAAATAAAGGAAAATAAATAGTCATAATGCTATTGTATACTTAATAGACTACAGTATAGTGTAAACATAACTTTTTTACTTTTTAGAAGTAAACAACTTTTTCTGGCGAACTAAAAAAATTGTGTCTTACTTTATTGTGGTATTTACTCTATTGTGGTTATCAGTAGCTGAATCTACAATATCTCTGAGGTATGCTTATATTGTTTTTTGCTTAGAATGCCTCCTCTTATCTGTTTGACAAGTTCCTCCTCATTTTTCAAGTTTCAAGTATGTCTCCACTGGCAAGCCTTCCCTAATTTCCTTTGGCTGACATAGACATTTTTTTCTCCTAGTCCCCCACTATACCTTGCATATACCTGCATTTTTGAAGTTAACTGTACAGTGTTGTAATTTTTTACATGTCAGTGTTTTCCTAGACTGGAGAGTCCTTAGTGAAAATGCTTTTCATTTGGTCTCAGAATTGTGCTTTTCATTTTTGTATCTTTGGTTCCTAGTATCCTGTATTTGTTCAGTAATGAATGATTTAACAATTTAGAAAGATTTTTTTAGGCTATGAAGGTGGTATTAAATATCATGTTACTATAGTGTATGAAATTTGACAATACCAAGAAAGACACTGAGCAGCTTAGAGAAAAATATCTTCACAAACGTAACTCCGTTATGTTCCTCTATTTCAGCATTAATCAAGTCTGATCTGAGAAGACACAACATAAATACAGGAATTACAAATGTCGATGTTAAAGCTGTAAGTAAAGAATATTTTTACAATTATACTGTTGAAAAAAGTGCACATAGAATAAATGTGAAACCAATCTTATTTAGTTAGCTATGTTTTTCCCTGAGTCAATTTTTTATCTGTTTATGATGGCATATACCAGGTGCTATACATTTTCAATCTTCTGATTATTTTTATAGGTGCCATTTGACAGTCCCACAGATCCACAACCAAAAACTGTTATGTTGTCCAAGCAGTCAGAATCAGCAATTTGAGATGAAAGAAAAAGTTACTATCCTGTGGTAACTGGGGTACAGTATGATCGTCCTTGGGAAGACATATGAGCAGTAAGGCTGGGTTTATATGTGGTGGGGAATGAACACTTACTTGAAAATTACCATATGAACTCTCAATAGACAATTATTATTTTGTTTTCTTGTTACTTTAAGGAATATTTTTCTTATAGTAGTTGTGCTTACATCATGTTAACACTACTCTTTATCTAATTTGTGTCCCATTGGTAGTCTTATATTGTATCTGAAAGTAAGCATCTTGACATTTACTTCTTAAAAGTAGGTGCTTTATTTTTTTGAAGAAAATGAAATCTTGGAAGACTTTTTAAAATGATAATATGGGAATCCAGTCCCATAAACCACGTAAGAGTGCATGCAATTTATACATAAAAATATCCAGTGGAACCAAATGTACAATATATTTCTAATTGGCTGCCTTTCCACTGTGCTGACCAACTGTCCAAGCCACCTCAGTATGAGTATAATATACCAACATGATACTAACCCACCAAAGGACAGTACTGGGATCAGACTACCAGATGACCTCTAAGATTTTTCCCATTTCTTATATTCTTATTATAGAGTACTTTTTAACAGGTACTATCAGTGACCATAAACACTATTCTGTATACAGATTCTATTCATGATTTTGGTCTCAGAATTATGTTCTAGTTAAAGTAAGGAGTTCAGGTAATGGCCCATTACCATGAGTTCTTTCTTTTCTTTTTTTTTTCAGTCAGAGTCTCACTCTTGTCGCCCAGGCTAGAGTGCAGTGGCACACTCACAGCCACTGCAGCCTCAACCTGCTGGGCTCAGGTGATCCTTCTGCCTCAGCCTTCTGAGCAGCTGGAACCACAGGTACATGCCACCATGCCTGGCTAATTTTGTTTTTTTTTTTTAATTTTTTATTGTAGAGACAAGGACTCACCAAGTAGCTCAGGCTGGTCTCGAACCCCTGGATTCAGGTAGACCTCTTGCCTCCATCTCCCAATGTGCTGGAATTACAGACATGAGCCACAACACCCAGCATGAGTTCTTTTCTGTGCTGTCATTCTGTCATGGAAAAATACTAACACTATATTTTTCCACTCCAACTTGAAATATAATAGTTTTGTATCCATTACCTTTTTTTTTAAACTCTTATCTCTTTTTTCAATATATGACTTTCTAGTACAAAAACTTTATCATATATGTTACTGAATATTTCATAATTTCTTATGTCACATCTTATATTTTGCCTTGAAGATTTCCTGAGATAAGGAAAACTTAAATTACTGCAGATAGCCTGGGTGTCTCATTTAGTGGAAGCCTCTTGCATGCTAACTGTTTTAACTCTGCAGTCTCATTTTTATGACCATTCTCCTTTGAGGACTGCTCTGCTCAAGTGCATGCTCCTTCCGTGTGCTGGGGTAGTAGACTCTCTTTTTCACCACATAGGATGTGCAGTCATTACACCGTTGGAACAGTCTGTTCTTTCACATGCTCAGGGTAAGGCGACTAGGACCAAATGTATTTCCACAGTGCCTACCACTGTGTTATGTTTACAGTGAGACTTTAAATGTTATTGATGTTACGACTCTCTAAGCTCATAGGGAATATCTTTACAGTAATGGCAGTCATGACATTTATCATAACATTTACATTATGCCCATATATACAAAAAAAGCCAATCAGTAAGAATACTCTTGAAGTGAATAGCAGTTTTGATTTAGGCAGAATATATATGTTGATTTATATTTAAATTATAACATTCTTTAATCAAATGACTATAAATTATGTAGAATCTGACCCTGGAGAATGTATTACCTAAAGAACTCAACTAAGAATCAGGAACTCTGTGTCCATATCCTGGATGTGTTTCTATCTGTTCTGATAACTCCAGAGAAGTTATTTCACCTTTCTGGGCAGCATTTTCCTAATGCATAAAATGAATATGTCCAGTTTCATCTCAAGATCTTTTTTAAATGTTAAATACTGTTTCATTGTAGACCAAATCATTGTATCACAGAAACTGAAATCTAGCTAGAGAAAAATTCCCTGGACAATTGGATAAACAACTGTGATTGTTTGTGGATACAAAGGACTTTTAAATCTCTATTTAGCCTTTTTAGTCAGTTGGTGGTAGGTCAAGCAGAATATGCCCAATCATTAGCTTCCTTTGATATTTACATTATGTGTAAAAATGTCCAAAAATACACCCCCAGAAATCTGTTTTTATTTTTTAACTGTCAGTGCTGTTTAAAATGATTATATACTTAAAATAATCATGTACTTGTTGAATTCCTGAGGTTTGAACAAATTTCAGATAAAATGAGAATACTTTATTTTTGAAAAGCATATACATATATGTCATATGTGTATTTCCTTGTTGATTAGAGAAAAGGGATAAAATATAATGAGACAAAATGCAAAATGAATGGATAATTTTTCTGTATTTTGAAAGTTGTTTATGATGTCAAACAAGAATGTCATTCTACAGTCATATGTCACTTAGTAACAGGTCTACGTTCTGAGAAATGTGTTAAGTGATTTAATTATTGTGAGAACATGATAGTATGTACTTACACAAACCTAGGTGGGATAGTCGACTACACCCTTAGGCTATATGGTATAGGCTATTGCTTTAGACTACAGACTTGTACAGCATGTTACTGTACTGAATACTGTAGGCAGGTGCAACACAATAATAAATATGTGTGTATCTAAACATGAAAAAGGTAATATGTTGTATTCTGATGTAACAATGGCTACATCATCACTAGATAACAGCAATTTTTTAGCTCCATGATAATCCTATGGGACCACAGTCATATATGCAGTCCATCATTGATGGAAACATCATTATGCACACATGACTGTATGTCATATTTTTGGAAAATGGAGTAGGTAATCATCACCAGTGTGAATTTTAATCAAATGATTTTGGGAAAGGAAATGGATGCTTTCTAAAGCTGTTGCATTTATAAGTGTCACAAACATAGCTTTTATCCTTTGAGACTGTTGGAGAGAGAGATGTCTATAAAAATGCTTGTATGTAAAAATACATTTATATGCAATAGCCAGAAGAATGCCTGTGTCTTAAGTCATTACTCATGTTCTAATTATTGCTCTTTGTACTATTTATCTGTGTGCTTGTTCTTCAGTATTTCAAAATAAAAATAAATTTATTTTTTTATGTTAATTTTGTATAGCTTTAAAAAAAATTTTTATTGTAGAGATGAGGTCTCACCATGCTGCCTAGGCTGGTCTTGAACCCGTGGGCTCAGGCAATCTACTTGCCTTGGCCTCCCAAAGTGCTGGGACTACGGGCTGAGTCACCAAGCCTGACCAGCTTTTTTAAGTTTTGATACCTAGGGACACATGGGGAGTGTAAAGGGATTATAAGATTTCAGAATGAGCAAAAAGGGAGAAAAGCAGTTTGTGGAATGCAAGGAAACAAGGTCCACCACAAGGATAAGAGCTAAAACAGAAACTAAAATATTTTATTTCTTTTTGTCTTTGATTTGGAGTCTCACTCTGTTGCCTAGGCTGACATGTTCACAGCTCACTGCATCCTCGACCTGGGCTCAAGCTGTCCTTCCACCTCTGCTTCCTGAGCAGCTGGGACTACAGACACAAGCCACCATGCCTGGCTAATTTAAATTTTATTCCTTTAAATGTAACTTCTAAGAATGATGTCAGCAAGATGGCAGAATAGCAGCTATATACCACCATCCTCTCAGAGAAGCATTGATTTTTACAACTACCTTTAGACAACAGTTTTTTTTGTAGGAATCTGAAAATCCAATGTAGAAGTACCAGCACACCGTTGGAGCAAAAATATCTTGGAATAGATGCATTGAAGAAGGTAAGAAGAACATTTTTAATCTATATAACCCCTCCTTGAAGGTGGCACACCTTACTGCCAAGAGAGACCTCCTCAGCCCACAATTTCTCTCCTGAGGGAAAGTGATAGCATAGTGAGTGCTCAGCTGTATAGGATGCTGCCCAAGAGGCCTACCTCTTGCCCCAATCACAATACTGAGATGACTGGCATGGCTGAGTGTTGGTAAAGGCTGGGAACAGGGATGAGAGACCATGGAACCTACTAGCTGCTCCACAGACTCCATTAAGAAGACTGCCCACAGGCCATTAGGAATCCCTTATGAATTGACTCTGTACATGGCCCTTGGCTACCTTAAATACTCTTTGTTCTTCACCCCCTACCCCTCAAGCTGGCTCTCTGAGCACACCCCTTGGACAGCAACAGCAAGCATCAAATACAGACAGCTCAACTGTGGGACTGGAACAAGCACACAAACTTGAGTATTTAAGGGCACCACCCTAAGAAAAACAAACAGGAGCTGTCAGTACCTGGCCTGGCTTTGTGGGACTAAGAAAAGACATAATTTTAAGAATCCTACCTCTTTTCCCCCACTAAAGGGAGCCGGTGAATCCATAGGAAAGATCTGAAAGAGCTTGAGAATTCCTAGCCACACTAATTGATGAAGGCATTTTTCTCCTCAAGCCAGTCAGTAAAGACTGAAGAAGGTGATTGCTTCTTCAAATGCAAAGACAGATGAACAACTTCAAAGTAAACAAAAAATTTAAGGAAATATAATACCACCAAGGAACACAAGAATATTCCAGTAGCATACTCCAAAGAAATTGAGATCTATGAATTGCCTAACAGGGAATTCAAATTAGTTGTTTCTAAGAAAATTTAGCAAGCTATAAGAGAACACAAACAACACTATGAAATTAGCAAAACAATGCATGAACAAAATGAGAAGTTCAACAAAGACACAGAAATCATAAAAAAGAATCAAACAGATTCTGCAGCTGGAGAATATAGTGATGAAAGGAAAAATGCAACAGTCAACAGCAAAATTGATCAAGCAGAAGAAAGAATCTGTGAACACAAAGATAGATCATTTGAAGATATTCAGTCAGAGGAGAAAAAGGATGAAAAGGATTGAAGAGAGTCTGGGGGATTTACAGAAAAACATCGAGAGCTAGCATTTGCATTATAGAAATAATAAAGGAGAAGAGAAAGAAGAAAGGGGGCAAAAAAGCTTACTTAAAGTATAAAATGGCTGAAAGCTCCCCAAATGTGAGAGAGATT